CTCTTCCCTTTATACCATAATTTTTTAGCTTTTCTTTTAAATAGTTTCTGTTTAGGCAGTCAAAAGCCTTTGATAAGTCGATGAATAGCCCAGCAGCTAATTTATTTTCTTCAAGAAATTTGAGTATATTATATGTAAATTGAAAAATTGCTGTAAGTATTTGTCGATTTACCCTTTAGATATGCATGTTGTGATGAACTAACCAGATTACATTCATTAAAAAAACTTAACAGTCTAAGGGACATTGCCATTTCAAAGATTTTTGAAAAGCTATTTAGCAAACTTATGGGTCTGTAATTTTCTAATTTTTCTGGATCTCCTGACTTAAAAATCGGTTTTATGAGAGTTACCTTTAGCTGGTTAGGAAAAATGTCAAATTTGAATGAATTATTTATAACATAACAAATAACTATCTTTATACTTGGAATGCTTAGTTTAACAATATTCACGGGAATTTCATCAATGCCACTACTTAGTTTATTTTTAAGTTTTTGAGATATTTCTATTATTTCTTCTGGGATAAAAGGTCTTATATATAAAGAAGCATTGTTTTTTATGTTGTCACAATTGAAATTTTTACTGTTCTTTATTAGATTTGGAATTAATTCGATTAGAAAGTTATTGTAATTATTGGCTATTGATTCATTAACGTTGTTCACATAATTTTTTGTTTGGCAGATAATGTAATTTACCATCCTTAACTTTATTTCTTGATACTGCTACGATTAGTGGAAGAATTTTTAATTGAAATACCTTTAAACATGAAGCTACAAAGAAAATTAGCAGGTAATAAAAATTCGCGTTTCCTCTCACCACAACGAAATCGGTTCCGAATATTTAAATTTTATCAGTGGAATAAATAATTATTAGCACGCCACTGTACAGCATATCATTGAGGTATTCGAAATTTTTAATCATTAAAATAAGCTAATCGAAAGATATAACAATCTATACATATAAAAATCAATGTTCGCGGGGTATCCGGATATGCGCTCCAAAACCACTTATCCGATTACGATGAAACTTTGGTAGGTTGTTATGGCCATCCCAAGGAAGGTTTGTGGATAGGTTACGCATCTCGGCAAAAGAAATTAATTTTGAATTAATTATTAATTTAATTGTAAACAAACTCATTCACATTACATAACAAAACAACATAACCCAACTTTTTTTTGACAGCATGAAATAACGTTGCCACATTTCATCAAGGGCGGGTATTATAAAACTACTGTGAGAGTTAACTTAAAATTACCTTCTGGAATTACATGTAATTCAAAAAGTTAACTTTAAGTTTTATAATACCCGCCCTTATTTAGGCTTCCCATTTAACCGACGTAACATTATTATTTTTTGAATTCGAGAACGGCTGGACCGATCTTGAATTTAATACCACGTATTCATTTTTTTGTTGATGAGGGTGCACTGATCCAATCTCAATCGAACACAGTGTGGTTCGCTTAAATTGAACCAGATCGATCTAATCCGGTCAATCGAATTCGACTATAGAGGAGAGTGATATAGGCTATTTCTTATCCCGAAAAAAAAGTTCAGTTGCGCGGAACTCTGATACACTGGAACGCCTATAAACAGCCCTGGGCGCTCTAGAACAGCTCTGGAGTGCTTAAAATGCGTCACTGAACTCACTGGCAAGCGACTCTGGTTACACTCTCATCAACAACAAAATTTGAAAAAAAGTGTATTATTTCAAAATGTATTTTCACGCTGGCAACGCAGCGGGTCATTAGCTAGTTGCTAATAAAATTGATTTAATGAAAAATAATAATTTCTGTTTGCACGCCACTGTACAGCATATCATTGAGGTATTCGATATTTTTAATCACAGTAAATGCGCTGGCTGAAAGGTATGACAATTGCTAAAAAAATTCACCGGTAAGAACGATTCGGGATGGTTTAGAACGGAAAAGTTGAGAAAATTAATATGGTTATGTTAAATAAACAATATTTTAAAAACAAAGGCAAATATCAAAATTTTCAGAAATTGGTTTCTTATTAATATGTCAATGATTAAAGTGAACTAAACAAATGAAACTTCAAATGATTATTTTTAAAATTATGCACCTTTGAATGTAAAATTCGGTAGCCATTAATAAATAATTCCGAAAATGGGCGATTATTAGTATGCTACTGGACACCACATTATTTTGTTTTTTCATTGAAAATAAACCAGGATATCGTGGGGTATATCAAACAGCAGCATAAGATGCAAGATTTATTGTACAGGATGGTTCAGGTGCTTAAAAGTTGAAAAAAAGTGGAGGTTATGAAAAAAAGTAGATATTTTTAAAACTATGGCAGGTATAAAAAATTTGAGAAATTACTTTTTTTGCAGAAGATCATTGATTAAAACGCGGCATAGAAATAAAATTTAAAAATTATCTGAGAAAGTTACACACATTCAAAATTGGGATGAAAATCATGGACTCTTTTAACACCCTGTATAAAAAAAAAGTAGACATTTAAAAAAATTTCAAAATAGCAATTTTTTTCACAAAAAGTCAATCTGTCAGCCCGTGAAAACCGCAGGTCGATATCTATTCTGGTTCCAAAAATATCGATCTTGAAAGTTAGGCGATATTTACCTTGTTCGAAAGCAATTGTCCAGCAGTTTAATTAATTTGATCAAATGGTGTTCAAAAGTGCCTGTTTCGTAACATGGATGCGGTAGAAGGGCTTTCAACGAAATTATATCTTTTTTGAGGTGCTGAATACGAATCTGAAGTTGCTGCCTCGTGGCAGTACCGGCTCAGGTCGAAAAACGCGAAAAACCTCGACATTTTCGGACTTTTTCCGGTTTTCTGATAATATCTTGCAAACGACGCATCGTCCGAAAATTGTGACTGCGTCGAATAACTTCCCTCAACTTGTTACTGCTAAATTTATAAGCTCGCTATCGTCAGTCGAAAAAAGCCAATTTTAATGAATTTTTGTGAAAACTGCAATAAACTTACGGAGCAGAGTAAAATAAAATGGACATTGCTATCAGGTATTCTCTATAGAGCGTATTCCACACTATAATACAACTTACTAGCTCTTTTTCTTGGGCTGACTATATGGTCTTCCCATGATTTTTCCTACAATATAGGTACATATTATGTATATTGTATATATTCTCTTATCTTGTTAATCTAAATGTAATAAATAAGTAAATATTTTTTTTTTTGTAAATTGGTACTGATTGTTGGAGCTGCGAGCTCTCAGGACCGGATATTTTTCTCTGGTGGAGTCACACATTACTTATGGAATTGCATTTTGGGGCTGTTGCAGTACTACAAATTTGAACTCCATATTTATTTTACAAAAAAGAGCCCTCAGGTTCACGCTTAGAGTTCCCTTCCGACAATCTTGCAAACCTAGCTTTAATTCTCATAGAATTTTGACTGTGCCATGCTTATATACTCAAAAGTGTTTGCCTGATCTATAGGAAATACTATGACCAACTTTCTTCGGCAAGGCACTATTCAACTAGGCAACCTAATAATATTCCACTGGCAATTCCCAGAAGCACCTTGGTGAAGAATACTTTAGTTTATTTTTCCAAGAAAGCCTTCAATTTTCTACTATCTAGCGTTGGGGCTTCACGTTCATACGGAGGTTTAGAAAGGGGATAAGAGAGTTACTCTTGACTAAAGCCTACTTTAATATTGAAGAATTCTTTGGAGACACTTTGTGAACATATTAATTTTAACTTAGGTAAAATTTTAAATTGTTCTGGTAGATATTAAGTTATATTGTTTTATCATTTAAGTTGATATTGTCACGAAGCGTCTCAACTTCGCTATGTAGCTCGACTATTCACCCTGAAAAGCAGAACGGGAAGGGAGGAGTAACAGGGAAACACCAGAACAGTTTTAGATAGCTAATATATATTGTGATTTTACAGGACGGAGATTACGAAAGCATGAATATTTAATTGTTACCAAGTCATCATCATCTTGGACCAGATAACGTCCCTTCGGGTGGTAAGGCTCAAAAGGGCGGACGGTCAACACGTCGGGTATACCCATGCAATGCTAAACAACCAAACCAGCACTACAGGAAAATCTAGAAAGCCTTTTCACTGTAGGTCAAAGCCTGGGTCGTCAGAGAATATCTGCCCTGATAGAGATACGATAACGTATTAACTTTATCAGTCCAGATAGCTCCCCAACTTTGAGTCGTCTCTAAACACCTACTGATTGCAGCGAAGTGCTGAGACAGGACTGATTTGCCATAGTGTGGCTAGTGACTTTTATATCCCATTTTTGCTGACTATAATTAGGTCAGCTATTTGTTGTAGCCCGTGGGCTGGTGTATCTAATTTGACTGTAGCCCATGGTCCTATGGTTGACATATGCCCCCACCGACGAAGACATTGGCCCCACAATGCCCAAGGAGACGTTTCTGGCTTTAAAAACTTATAACTAACAATCTTACAAAACTTTAAAACTTAAAATTAGGTACATTATCCTTCTTCTTCGGATCGTCTTCATCTAGTTGGGTCCCTGCACGTGTCCGGTCTTCTTCGATACCAAACATCTGAACAGTGCCTAAGGTGTCTTCCCTGTGTAGTTTCCCAATTGGTAACATTATGTTCTGCTGCCTCTTCTTCCAACGGCGAATGTCTGGCTTTTGGTAAATCCCAGGCTAGTGGTTTGCCTGGAATCATCGATGTTCTGGCATTGGTCCCATTTCAAAGTGTCGTTTCAGGCTTAGTGTTTTGCCTAGGTGCGTTGATGTTTTGGCATTGGTCCCATGTAGTGGATTCGAAGTGTCGTTTTAGGCTTAGTGATTTGCCTAGACTCGTTGATGTTCTGGCATTGGTCCCATGTAGTGGATTCGAAGTGTCGTTTTAGGCTGAGTGATTTGCCTAGACTCGTTGACGTTCTGGCATTGGTCCCCATGTAGTGGATTCAAAGTGTCGTTTTAGGCTAGTGATTTGCGTAGACTCGTTGATGCTCTGGCATTGGTCCCCATGTAGTGGATTCAAAGTGTCGTTTTAGGCTAGTGATTTGCCTAGGTTCGTTGATGTTCTGGCATTAGTTCCATGTAGGGGTACCTCTGCGTCTGAGATTGCGAATACACTGACCATAGTCTTATCAGCTCCTGCAGCTTGGGTAGACGACCATGATGTTGTAGTTAGTGCTCTGCCACTGGTGTTCGTTGCTGGGACGCCTCTGCCTTGTTTCACAGTTTTGGGAGTAATTAGCAGTGTCTGCAATATTTTGGCCGTAATTAGCAATGTTTGCAATGTTTTGGTAAGTATTAATTGTTTTAATAAATTTGTCCATTGCCCTGATTTTTGTCACGATGCGAAGTGAGTAATTTTCTACACCTTTCCTACACAATAATACATAATGTCTGTTTTTTAGGATCATTTATCAGAAGACGTGTCATCAGGAGGTGGGTCACCCTCGATCCATCGCTTAGGGTGAGTTTCTTCTTTTTTTTTTCTATAATTTTTCTGTACCTGGATGGTGCCGTGGATGGTACCATATGCTTTGTAACCGGTGTAGCCCGGCTTCGGCGGTCACTAATATATACCGGGTGCCCACGAGATTTCTTTCCGGCTGCCATTTTTTTATTTGTTTATCGATATCAGCGAAACTTGGTAAGCTTGATATTTTAACGAAACGCCATTTTTATGCATTTAGGACAATTTTTCCTGACTTCCGGTTTCACCGGAAATGACCGAAACTTTTGATTTTCGAATGGCACACCCTGTATATTTTTTGTTTTTTTGGATTATACAGATCGTTTTACGTCCTAATGTACCACTTTTAAATTGAGTTTTGTCCAAATTTCGTTTTCAAAATTAAATTTTAAGTAGAAAAAAGAAATTACCTACATACTAAAACAGAAATATTTGAACGAAAATTAAGAAAAATGTCGTAGTGTATTATATCATTGGATTCGCTTCAAAAAACTATTCTAGTTTTTGAGCTAGGGCAAAAATACCAAAATAATGAAGTTTACAGCCCTCTGTCAGAAAAGTTTACAAAGATAAAATTGAGTTTGTATTTTTATGAACTTAAGTAAAGTATGTAGAGTCATTTTAGGATAATCATGGCACTCTAGTTAAAAAATTAAAATTTAAGTTAAAAACAAAATTTGGGCAAAACTCGATTCAAAAATTGTGCATTAGGACGTAAAACGACCTGTAGAATCCTAAAAACAAAAAATATACAGGGTGTGCCATTTAAAAATCAAAAGTTCCGGTCATTTCCGGTGGAACCGGAAGTCAGGAACACTTGCCATAAATGCATAAAAATGGCGTTTGGATAGAATATCAACCCTACCAAGTTTCGTTGATATTAATGGACAAATAAAAAAATGGCAGCCGGAAAGTGATCTCGTGGGCACCCGGTATATACTTTTACTTCTGGATTTTATTTACATCCTATATTCTGGTAATCTCCATACTTACTTGTCCACATACTAATATCTAATTTCCCATATTTATATTTCCCATACCAATTAAATAATTACCCTTACCATTATCCCATATTACCTATACTTACAATTTGACCTAATTTATGTTTTACAAATATTTTGTAACATAATCCATCCTACTTTCTACACGAATTTATATAATTGTTTACTATTCCCCTCGTAATAATTTATGTGCTCCTATCAGGTTCAGGCTTTGACTTCGAAATACCCTCGTCAGCAACTATTGTCGTTACTGGTGTTGGCTTGCTTAGCTTGCATTTTATTTCATTATTCTCCGTTTTTTCGATAAGTTCTAGGGTATACACCGTTTTTTCTGTTTCAGTCGCCGTTCGTTTATTTATTAAGTTTTGGATTATCTTATACGTTAGATATACGATGAATATTACTACTAGGCTTATTGTGGTATGAAATAAGGCATTGTGTTCCGTGTTGTTTTGATTATCCTCGGCCCTTGTCGCATGTACGAATGCTGGCACAACGGCGTGTTGTCTGTGAAAGGTTAGGTACAACAGCATTATTGTCAATATGGTGTTCCATATTAACATCAAACTGTGGCTTTCTGTATACGGTATCCGTGGAGTCATTCTATAAGTCTCTCTCATCTGGTGGTTCATCTCCTGGAGGATTTGAGAACTTGATGTTATGTTTATGTGCGGTGTTGTCAGAGACCAATTGTGATTCATACACTCGTTTATGTTGCTGAATTTGACAGATTGTACGCTCATCAATGGATTCAAAATGAAAGTTTTCAAGTGTGTCCATGCGGCTGGTAAGACATGAGTTATTTTTAATACTTCTTTATCTTGTTTGCATGGAAATCTCTGTGGAATTAATGTTTTGTTCTGTATTTGTAGACTGCATTGACATGGCAAGTGGATTCTTAGTGCTCCTGTTGTTATTATATTTGGAATGACATCCCGTTCCTGTTCTACGCAAGTTATGCTTGTTCCATTTTCCGGGTGTGTTATCATAAATATGTCCTCCTCAGCTTCCGTGATCAAGGGAAATTTGGATTGGTGACAACGTAATGGACAATGAGCTGACAATTCCTGTACCGTGGCTCCATGGTAAAGCTTGATTGCGCAGGAAGGACCTTGTAATGTATTCCCCGAAGATCTAGGTAGGTAACAAAGTCTGCTTTCGTATGGTTTGCATAAATGTATCCCTGTCCCTGTGATTTGCCTTGTATACTGTTCATTTGTTATTTTATTTTTTGCTACTGCTAGGTATAATGTTGTATGTTCGATTGCGCAGGTTTGGCCTGACCATGCGAAAGGGAACGTAATTAATTCAAAAAGTTGCCAAGCTGTGTGATTCTTCTTGTTTATGGGCACTTTGACATGGATGGTTAATTCGTTTCCAGCAAAATTGCATTCAGCTATTGGAAGTTCATAGTATTTTGACATGTCCAATACCGAAGTTGTGAGTTCATAATTTTTTCTATTTAGTTTTTCATCTAATTTTTCTAGGTCCTTTCTTAGGATACATGGACTTATTGCTGACGTTGGGATTTGGTGGTTCCTGCATGTTTTTACTGCGTCCTGCATCCGTAATGCCTTGGTTAGAGATAGTATGTTCTTTGTTGTATCTAAATAGCTTTTTCCTATAACTTTCCAAAAGTCATGGATGCATTCATTCACGTTTCCGTATAGTTCTCTAAACTTTTTATTTTATTTTCAATTATTTTCAGGTTTATCCCGGCTAAATCCTGAAGTAACTTCATGTCATCCAGTTCTTTTCCTACAATGTGTACTACCGAATCTAGGCCGTCATGGATGGATGATACCTGTTGTCTCACTGTGTCCACGTCCATTACCATGGAGTGTTTTTGTTGGGTTGCTACGCCACAACACCAATTCAGTCCATCCGCTATAAATGACAGTGAAATGGCCCTTTTTGACCTGGAGTTGTAAGTGAGATGATGTACCTCCCAAAGGTCTAGCATTTTATTTACTTCGGCGTTCAGTGCTTTGGAGTCCTCTAATTGGTTGAGTATAATGCAGGTTTCATCCGTTTTTTCTACACAGTTTATTTTTAGGTGCCTTATAGGCGATTCTCTTTCTCGCAGCCTCGTAACTTATTATTTCTGGTAGCAGTTTCCAACCGGCTCCAGCTGTTACCTCTACTTCCTGGCTATGAGCAGCCCGTAGGCAACTTAGGAGTAACCTGAAACGTCGACCGTTTTAATTTATGATCGAGGGGTATCTAAACCTTAATTTAACTTATATTATGCTAACTACTATTTCTGTATATATTTTGTATTTTAATGTTTTTTGTTAACACTAGTTTTCCGATGTGGGGCGCGCTCCCAATCGATTCTGTGCTACAAAAATTTCTTGAGGTCTCAGTCTATTCTTATTTCTTCTATCTCTTCCTCATTTTCCTCAGTACTACTCTCAGTTTCTGATTCCTCTAACATTTCTTCTAAAACTGGGGACTCCGCTGCCCACGGGTCGTAGTAGGGGAGTATCCTACTTACATGGGCCGTGTCCTTTTTCTTCCCACCAATTTTTTCCACTTCATAATCGACTTCTCCTAATTTTCTTAAAACTTTGTATGGCCCAAACCATTTTAACAACAATTTTTCGCTGCGGCCTACTTTTCTTACCGGCACGAAAATTTTAACTTTATCCCCAATATCAAACTTTAATTCTCTATGTTTGCTATCGAATCGTTTTATATCCTTTACTTGTCTTTTGTGTATATTTTCTGCTGCTATTGCCCTTATAGCCAGCGCTTTCTCCCTCAGGTGTAGTATATCCGTTTCCGAGTCATCATCAATCAACATTGCTTCCGACGGTAGAGTCGGTTCCCTGGCAAAGTTACCATAAACGGGCTTAGCTGTGTGCTATCTTGAATCGCTGTGTTATAAGCGAAGGTGACGAACGGAACGTAACTACACCAGTCAGTCTGCTGTGTGTTACAGTACATTGCCAGCATATCGGCCATTGTCTTATTCAACCTTTCCGTAAGGCCGTTACACTGGGGATGGTACGCTGTAGTATATTGGTTTCTTACTCCCATTATCTTCCCAAGTTCTGTTACTAGCTCGGACTGGAAAACCTTTCCTCTATCACTCAACAGTGTTCTTGGGGCTCCGTATATCAATATAATTTTTTTCAAAATAAACTTCGCCACTGGGCCTGCCCTTCCATTTGGCAGTGCCGCCGTGATTGCGTAGCGTGACGCATAATCTGTCGCAACTATTATCATAGTTTTTTTATTTGAACTTCTTCTAAATGGACCGAGCAAGTCTATTCCCACTTTATCCATGACGCATCCCACTTTAATCGCCTGAAGGGGCCCAGGAGGTTTCCTGTAGGGCTGTCCCTTCCTTGCTTGGCAATCTACGCACCCTTTGACGTATTTTTCAATGTCTTTTAAAATTCCATCCCAGAAAAATCGGTTCCGTATTTTGTCTATCGTTTTGCTGAGTCCTAGATGACCACAGGTTGGTGATGCGTGCAATTCCCATAGGATTTCTTCCCTCATTGCCTTCGGTACTACCAGCACCTTATCTAGTCCTTTATGCGTTTTATTCACTTTGTACAATAAATCATCTTCGATTCTGAAATTTTTTGCTCTTCTTCTGGTTCCAATATTAATATCCGGCTTGCCTGGGTTTTTTACTGCCTCTATAATTTCATTTAAGTCCGGGTCTCTTTTCTGCATTGTTCTCATTTCTACTGTTCTTGTCGCAAATGTTGGCAGTTCTTCTTGTTCTTCGCTTTTGTTTGGGTCAATTTGTAGGACTGGTTTTCGGGACATGCAGTCGGCATCTTTATGGTTTGAACCTTTCTTGTACTCCACCGAATAATCGAATTCTGCCAGTTTTAATGCCCATCTGGCCAACCTTCTGTTGCTCTCTTTTATGGTGTCCATCCAGCATAGTGCGTGGTGGTCTGTTATAATTCTTACTGGTCGACCATAAATCAAGTGTCTTAAATAGC